GGCCTGGTCGCTGACGGGCGGGAAATCCCGGCATCCCGCCCGCGGCCCTTACCTCAGGTCAGCGCAGCCCGCGGGGGGCGAGGCCGGCCAGGATGTCCGCCCGCTTTCCTTTTCTCTGTGGATTCCTTTGATCCTCGGGCTCTCCGCTGCACCTCGGCTCCCGGGCTGTCCGGGTCGGCCCGCGGGGATCCTGGAAACGGTCCCCAGCTTATCTCCTTTCATCAAGCGGCCTTGGGCCGCCTTGAAACCACGGAGGCAGTAATTGCTTTTTTCAGGAGGCCCAATGCGGACTGGACAACAGCCAATCAGCGCCTTGTTTACACTCAGTGATTGACAGCCTGCTGGCAGAGTGCCAACCAATCCCAGCGGTCCCGCGGAAGGGGGCAGGGGGGCGGAGACAGAATGGAAACAACAGACCTGAGGTTAACCCCTTCGCGTCCTCGCCGGAAGCGGGCGACAAAAAAATTCTAATGCCTGTGAATGTGTCGGTTGGCATCTAGTTTAAATATATCCTTTTTTCCACACAGAGAAAGAGTAAAAAATGATGTATTCCTCGTCACTAAGACATCACCTCGGATCCTCTAGAATCAATACCATTTGGATAGGAAACCAGATTCTAATCAAGATATTTGCTTGCAGAATATTTTTTAAAAGTGGTTTGATTCTGATTACGGTAAAGAGAATTGTTCCGCGGCTGTTTTCCACTGTAACGTGAACTCAGCAGACATGCAGGAGGGCGGCTCTGAGAAATGCAGCGCCCCTCCTCACACGGGGACAACTTGTCCCAAAATTATCAAATGAGAAAGTATTTTTAAAACCTAGGAGCCGATAGAGTCATCTTTGTCTTAGCAACAAACCCTCGATTTTCCTTTTGATTGTTGTGCTGTTGCAAAGTCCCGGGGCGGGAGATAAAAGTTGAGGGCCTGAAGCTGAAGGCGGGAGAGGACTCATCTCCCGGGTCTTGGGGCAGGAGGAGGTCAGAGCCAGAATCCCCGTCCTAAAGCTCGTGTGCCAACCGCGAGAGGTCACGCATTCCTGGGCTCGGGCCAGGGCGAGCGGGGCAGCCCGGCGAGGTCTCGGGCTCAGAGGTTGGGCTACAGGAGCCCAGGTTCCGCCGCCTACCAGACAGATACCAGGTATGCAAAAAGCACCTGCTTTGATGGGTGTTGTTTCTTCTCCTGGCATTCTGCGGACCGGAAGCCAAACGTTAGACCTGCTGGATTTAAAAAAAAAAAAAAAAGCCTTTCCTGGGCTTGGACTCGTTCTCTCTCTCGCCCCTGCTCCTCCCGCCCAGCGCCAACAGATTCCCATTCAGCCGCGATGATCTGCGCAAAGGAGGTGCGCAGTCGCACGGCTTGAATTAGGCGCCATCGGGCTTGGTAGTAGCCCTGCTGCTCCCTGATTGGCAGCTCCCTGGCCCGGCGCCAGCCTATTGGGAGGCCTGTTTACGCGGAATGAGTGGCACGAGCTCCCGTCCGTAGAGAGCCGCGCGGCCAATCAGCGCGCGGGCTGCTCGGGGGTGAGTGGCACGAGCTTATTAGTATGCAGGGCCCGTGGCTGGCCGCGCCGGGCTGCAGGCTTGAGAGCCGCTCTGGATGGGCTCGCTAGAGTCGTTGTTGTGGAAGCGGTGCATTTACAGTGCAACAGTCAGCACATTGAAAATACCAATAGGAATACAAAACAAAGTCACATTTACTGATTTAATTGTATTGCATTCAATTGTATCCAGGAAACAGCCTCCAGTAAGTAACTGAAATTACTTTTATTTTTTGTATTTTTATTTTATTTTGGCTTTGGGGATTTACATTTTTTTTTTAAGCAAGAGAAATTCAAGATTGTGGTAAGAAATAATATATTTTCCCTTTTAAAAATCCGTTATAATGTTGAGAAGGCTTTTTTTTTTTTAAAGGATGGACTATATATGAGTGATTTTTTTTCCTCTCTGAAAAATCTTATCGATCGGTTTAAAATTCCCCCCGTAATACGTCCTTGCTTTGCTCTGAGCGCTTGTTGTCTCGATCGACATCCAGCATTAAAAGTAATCGAGACAGGACGGGGGCTACCGGGCAGCGTCCGGAGGGAACCCCGCGGTGGCTCCGGCTGGCCAGTGCGCGCCCAGCTCTGGAAGAACCACGAGGGAACCCCGATTTTTGCTCCCCCATCCTAGTCCCCCCCCCCCCCGCAGTCCTGGATGGGCCCCGCCCGGTCGCTCCGCGGCTCGGGGAGCTGGCCGGTTCGCGGCGGCCACGGCCGCTGCCCAAAGGGGCTTTTCTGGTCGCGGCGAGGGGCCGAAGAGGGGAGGGAAAGGTTAAAACAAGGTTTTTGGGTTTCCCCTCCCAGAGCCTCGTTCATTTCTGAACATTTCAGAGAAAATCCTTTTCTGGAGGAGTAGGGTGGAGATGGGGGCCGAGGCACAGGGCGTCTTCACCGCGCGCGTTCGGGGAAGCTTGCGTGGATGTGGATGGGGTCCACGGGCGGCTGCGTCCCAGGGCGCAGAGCTCCGGCGCCACCCCAATTCCCGTTCCTCTCCGGCGGGGGTGGGGGGGGGGCGGGCGCGGCCGTTTCGCAGGGAGCGGGTTCTGCAGCGGCGCCAGAGCCACCCGCGCCCGCTGTGCGCCTGGCCTGCGGGCCTCATGCCGACCTCGCACTCCGCAACCGGGGCCGGAGGGAAGCGGACGGGCGGGCAGGGGTCCGGGTCCCCAGCAGGACGCAAAAGCGAAGGAGTGGCTTTAGACGTAAAAGTTGAAAACAATGCAAACCTGTGGAACCCCGGGATCCCGGAGCGCGGGAACGGGAACGGCGGCTCCGGGGGGGTCACTTCTTACCGAAAGGCCCTTGTCGGCGATTCTCTGGCCTTCTCTGCCCGCCGCCACTTTCCCTGCGCTTGCTCCTCCGTTCAGCCCTGTTTTGGGGGCCTCCTCGGCGGCCTGTCCCAGGGTTGGGGAGAGGGTGGGCTCGGAGCCCCGGGACGCGGTGGGTGGCGGCGCCACAGCTCCAGGCCTCGGGACTGATTTGTAGCCTCGGCCGCGGTGGCCGCTCGCTTTCTGGCGGCTTGGGGTCCCGCGGCTGGCGGCACTTGAGGCTTGGCGGCTCCGCAGCAGCGGAGAGCACAAAGAAAAGCCCTTCCTAGTCCAGTAAGAATCGCGGAGGCACACATCGGCGACATAATCCACCTCCTGTTGGTGTAGAAAGTCTAGCGGGTGGGTCGGAAGGGGCAATTGAGCCTGCCATCCGCCCTCAGCGGGTGGAAGCGTAAAAGTTGCTGGCCGGTCGCAGAGCCCGCGTCCCGAGAATCTCGAGCAGCTCGCGCTTTCTCGGCAACTTTGGAATTTCTTAACGGAAAGAAGAGAGGGCAACCCCCCCCCAACAAAACAAAAGCCGAGCACATACGACTCCCCCGGGGCCGCTGAGAGCCTGGCACCCCCGCGCGCAGCCCCGACCCCTCTCCAGCCCTCGGCGCCTTTGAAGCCGCAGGCTCCTGACCTCCCTCCCCTTCCTGCTTTCCCTTTGTCTGGCCGGCGCCCTCCAGGACTCTGGAGGCGCCGGCCAGGGCCCGGGCGCGCGAGCCCCTCGCCCAGCCCCGCAGGCCCTCCTCTGACCCCGGCGCGAGCAGCCCCTTGGCCTGGTGCTCCCGGGCCCTTGCGGCCTGGCGCTGGCTCACAGGCCTGCGCGGCGGTAAGCCGAGTTATTTGTTGGACCGGGGGAAGAGTGTGGATCCCTTGAGGAAAGAGAGCCCCAAACCTCTTTGTATGCAGTTTTGAGACAAAGAGAACTCTTTGTGTAGTCCCGTTTATTTACAATGCAAAAGCTCCCCGAATAAATATTAAAAAAGCTTTATCAGCTGAACAAATATGTATTCACTTAATACATTATGTTTTCGGTTATAGATTAAATCAGACACAAAATAGTCTGCAAATAAGATGTTGTAGAGCTCGGAGCATAAAATATAGCAATTTAAAATGGTATTTACGAAATGGAAAACATCTTAATCGCTTTGTTGTCACGGTGGGTCGGCATAAGAAAAACACCACGAGGCCTCTCTGCAAACTTCACAATTAAGAATATCGAGCCTATCCATCTCCCTTATGTTGGAGGTGATACCAAATGTTAACACAATGCATGTTTAGGAAATAAGCAGAAATATGTAGAATGACAAGGGGCAAGAACCTTTGGTGGCACGTGCATGGTGGTGCAGTTTATAGCTCTTGATTGAGTCCACTCTGAAATTGTCCACAGTTTCGCCTGGGAGTGGGCTCCGGGGCGGGTGGGGGTGGCAGAGAAGGGGGGTGAGGGTCATTTTTGGGCAGCCCTGCCAGAGGTGGGGCAGTGGAGGTCCCAGATCTGCTGGGACCGGTGCACGAGTCAAGACTTCACTGGGCCGGGCCCACTCTCCTGGGCTGCAGGGCCGAGGGCTAGCGGCAGACCCCACATCCCTGGCCACCTGGCCACGCGGAACCCGGTCTTGGCTGTGCAGTCTCAGGCAGGCGCTGAATGGAGAGATGTCGAGGGCGATTTAGGAGGCTGAGAGAACAATTTCTGACTCTCAAAGCACCCCCTCAAAGCCCCCAGTCTGCAGAGGAAGATCCTGGGCGAATCTGATTGGGGGGCGGGGTGATTGTTCCGTCTCTTCAGGAAGCTCCAAGCTTGGGGACAGCAGGCTGGGCACTGCGGCGTGGCGGCCCAGGTGATGCCAGTGGCGGTCGCGGGGCACCCCGGAGCCGGCTGGGGGCCCTGGCACACTGCTAGCGGGCGGAGGCCGGTCCCATTGGGACTTGGGGGGGGGCGGCAGATTCAAAAGAATGGACTGAAAAGACGCATGGGGGGATGGGAGAGGGGAGAAAAGGAAGGTTATAAAAAAACTCTTGAGTTACAATCAATAAAATTACTCGCTTAATTAGCATGGTTATTCGGTTAAGCGGAATGCAGTAAAAGCTGGACCTCGGAATGACGGGCGAGAAAAAAAAAGCGTGGACCCTAGGCCTTTTCCTCCGAGACACCTTTGGGCAGCGGGGGAGGGGAGAGGGTGTGCATGAGTGTGTGTGTGTGTGTGTGTGTGTGTGTGCGCGCGTGCGAGTGTGCGTGATGGCTTCGCAGATTTGGGTTTTTATCACCCAGCGGAGCCAGCAGCCACTTCGACACAGTGCCCTCACTGTAGGGACCCGCGGGGACGCAAAGGGAAAGCGGCGCGCTACGTGGCTGGGTTACCCCCGGCTCCAGGCCGAGCGTAGCCGGGACGGTGCGTGTGCACGCGGAGACCAGGGCGCAGGGCGGCCCGGGTGGCCCAGCGCGCGCGTGTGCGGCAAGGAGACACCGACCACTCCCGGCCCTGGCCGCGGCTCCGACCCGCAGGGATGTGAGGGGGGGCGCTCCCCGGGACAGCCGAGCCCCCAGTCAACGAGTGTTTTCTGCTTGCTTCCGCAGACCATGGACCTGCACGGCGGCCACCGGCTTGGCGCTCGGCCGCCCGCGGAGAAGCCCTGTCCGCCGGCGTGCTGACTGGCACGCCGCCCCTGCCGCCAGTGACCCCGGACACCGCCTCCTCCGTGCCACTCGCGCGCCGCCCGCGCGCCCAGCCGCCCCCGGGCCCCGGCCACGCTGCTCCCGGGAGGTGGCGGCTGGCCGGGGCCGGGGCCGGGCATGGATGGCCGCGACTTTGCACCGCCGCCGCATCTGCTGTCGGAGCGCGGGAGCCTGGGCCATCGCGGCGCCGCGGCCGCGCGCCTCGCCCCGTCTGGTCCCGCCACGCAGCCGTCAGCGCACTTCCAGCCGGGGAAATACTTCCCATCGCCTCTGCCCATGGCTTCGCACACAGGTCAGTGCCCAGCGTGGGCGAGCGGGACAGGAGGCCCAGCCTGCAGTGGGGACATTTGGTGGGGATGTTTGATAATGGGACCGCCGCCCGCCCCTCCGCTCCCGGGAGCAGTTCTCAAGCTTTGGTTTCATTTCCCTGCCCTGCACTTACGGGCTTCGCTCCCTGACTGCGCGGGAGCTTAGTCCTAGTAGTGGTTTACAGCGGCTTTTCCTGGGGGCCCCCGGGGGTCTCGGGGACAGTTCGGCAGCCGGCTAAAAATAAAACCTTCCGTTCCTGGCCACCCACCCCCACCTATTCCGGCAGAACTGAATACCAAGGGAACCTCGTTTTTGCATCCTGCACTCACCTCCTTAGGATGCTCCGGGGCTAGGACTTCGAAGAGCTGTCCTCCGCGGGAACCAAAAGGCTGTGTGGCTGGGGGAGGGGGTCCGGGCGCCCGGCAGGCTCGGCGGATTAGGGCAGCGTGCACAGGGCGAGCGCTAATGGGGACTGCTGGTGTAAGACGAGAAAATCCTGTTTCTATATAAAGCCTTGAAGTGTCAGGGCGAGAATGGGTTTGCAGGGGATGCGTTTGCTTTAACAAGTGCCTCTGGTATCTTGCTAAAGCCGGACAAAGCGTGGCCAGAGTAAGGCCAGCAAGCAGCCCGCGCCTAGGGAGGGCAGCGCCGTGCCGCCTCGCTCCAGATTTCGGTGCAGGCGAGTGCGTGGTGAGTGTGCGCCCGAGAGGAGACAGTCTGGGGCAGCCCGCGGGCGCCCGACTTGCCGGCTCTGTGGGCCCGAAAGGTCTGCCCTTGGCAGAGCCCACCCAGGCCTACGGAGTAGCTCATTTGGGGCGTTGATCCTGGCGTTGGGGGAGGTCCGGGAGAAGGGCCACCTCTACACTCGTCTCCCCGGGAGGACTTCGGGGAAGCGCAAGAGTCTATGCGGGGACCTACTGGTCACCCCGCAGGTCGGGTTGCTTTTGTTTACTGTTTGTTATAAAGATCAGAAATGTGGTTTGCAGCTTTTCTTCTTTATATTTGCCAGTAACAGTTATTATTGGTAGCTTGATGAACTGTGAATACTAATAAAATTATATCTGCTTTAATGGGATTACAATTAGTGTGTGGATTAAAACGGATGGCAGAGACAGGGTTAGAAGGGAAAACGTAGGAAGGGAAGGCAGTCAAAAAAAAAAGCGTACATTTCCTTTTTTAAAAAATTCAAAATTGCTTAATTACTAAGGGGCTACCAGCATGTACGGCTCAAGGGGCTTTTGCACACTCACGCGGCTCGTGCTCCCTGCCGGGTCAGCTCCGCGCTGCCCATTCCTTTTCCAGCTGGAGCCTCTGGCCAGACTGCCCTGTTCTCTCCATATCTCTTCCTTTCTTCTTTTTCTCCCTTTCTCTTTTCCTCTAGATTTATAACTGGAAAGAGAAAAAGTACTTGCCTGAGCAATCTGTGACTTAAAAATATCCCTTCCCCTGTCTCTGCCTGCGGTTATTAAGTGTCTCTTTTCACCCTTGGGCTGAGATGCTGCCCACCAGAACAGGCCCCACTGGGCTGTGAGGGAGAGGGTCAGAGTGGCTACAGGGCGCAGTCCCCCAGCCCCTGCTTCTGGCTGCAGTCTTGTGGCCCCCTCTGGGGGCAGGGAGACCGAGCCTTCAGGGGCAGGGGGATGAGGAGAGAGCTGTCCTCCCCCTCCAGCATGCAGTGGCCTCTAACCTGGCAGGTCACAGTGCCAAGAGGGGAGGCCCCTGACATCAGTGCTTTCATGGAGGTGCCCAGGCGGGCTGGGGCCATCCCTGCTGGGGAGGGCAGGCCAGGCTGGACTCCCCATCCGCTCAGGGCACTGCCGACTCCAGACCCCATTCACTAACCCATGGCCGGGCCAGCTCCTGGTCAGTGGCCATTTCCCCTTTCCACCCTTGTTTCCAGAGCTAGGTAACACCCAGCCAGGTGGGAGCGTGGTGGGGTGGCCTGGACCTTTGTCTTGCTCATTCTAAGTTTGACCACGTGGTTCTTGGAGTGCAGACCATGGAGGGGTGTGAGGAATTACGCCGGGCTCTGGACTGGCCTGTGTGTGTCCTTCCTCCCTGTTACTTGACCCCAGACCCTCCCCACTACCTCCCCCTGCACTGAGGGCTCTAGAGGGCACTGGAGGCCCCCCCCCTGGAGCCACTTGTTCCCTACTTCTGGAGGCCCAGTTTCCACCCCCCTGGGGACTGGAGAGACCTATTGTGCTTGGAGATGTCCCATCCTTCTGTGATGGGAAACCTTCCGAGGCCTGCAGGGGAGGCGGTTGCAGCTGGAAGCCTTTTGCAACTGCTGAGAGCCAGGATATCATATTAGTCTTTAAGATTTTACTACATGTATTTTTTAAAAGGAGTTACACCCTGGATCCCTTTCCCTTAGCCTGTGTCTATATAGGATGTAGTTTAGACAGAAATACGTGTAATGAAGCTAAACAATTTTTGTGTCTCACGAGTGGATTTCCGAATGGCCAGTTTGGACTTTCTTCCCCTTTCCGTGGATGCATTCGGTTGCAGGCCATCGTCACCGCAGCCCAGCCAGCCTTTCTAAGACAATTGCCCCAGTTTCTTGCCCATGTTGGGGTCCCGCTGGGGTGAAGGACCCAGCCTCCAGGCTGTACTGGCATCCCAGGAGCTGCCTCTCCTAGCCACTGTACCTGCCCGCTGGGTCTGGCGCCACTACCCAGGCAGGGCCGAGGGTCTCCCTGCCAGCTGCCTTCTCTGTTACCACCCAGCAGTTGCACAGCATTAGCCTGCAGGAGAGGAGGGTGAGGCCCCAAGGGGCCACGGGGGACTCCAGGCTTCTTCTCCCATTGTTTTTCCAGAAATGAAAGTGCTTTATGTTCGGCTGTAGGGTTTTAGGGTAAAGTGTTGTTCCAGTAACCTTGTCACCAAGAGGTGCAATTAAAATGTTTGGAACTATTATTTTTAGTGCAGTGTTAGATTTTGTCTCTAATACAGATGGTCTGGAGGCAAAGCTGTGAAATTGGGGGGGGCAAAAAAAAAAAAAGGGAAAATCAACTAGAACCAGCTCAAGATTTCTCATCAGCGTTACTGCCTGGAGCGATTGGGGATCTTGCCTGTTGGAGAGGAGCCTTAATCAGGAGGGGCGGCCGCGGAGAAGCCTGAGTCGCGCCGTCCGGCCCCTCCCCCTTCTGCTGGGTCAGCTCTTGTCCTGTCCTCTGAATGCCCCCCTCAGGGCAGGGGCTCCACCGAGGGGCTATTTCATGGCTTGGTTTGAATAACCTCAGAGTCCCTTCCCCACCCCTTCCCTTGTCTTTGGGGTCTGAATTGTCCCTGCCTGGGTAGCTAGGTGCCTTGCACTGGGGTTGTTGTGGGACCCAAACCCCTCTGGCAGGGAATTGCAAACTTCCTTCCTCCTGAAAGTACTCAGCCGATCTGGAAAAGAAAATAAAAAGTAAAATAGCCCCCCAAAACCTCACCCAGCTCCGTAGGAAAAAAAAAAAAATTTCCCGGTGTGGAAAGACCCCATCCAGTTTCCCCCTCCCTCATCATGTGGGGGTGGTTTTTCTTGTAAAGGAAAAAAAAATACATTTTCGTAAATACCTCATTAACTCTATGACAGGATGGAGTGTCTCTGCAGCAGTTACCAACATTAAGTAGGTGTGAAAAGAGTTACTTTCCGAAGACTCTACCCATCCTGCTGCCGAAGTGACAGAGCTAGACATCAAAGCTGCCGCCGCCGTGCCCAGCCGAGCTGCGGGAATCCGGGAATCTGGCAGCCGCTTGCTCGCTCTTTCAGGGACTGGGCCGGCTGTAGCCGCACCCGCCCCACCAAAGCCGTTTTTGGAATGTGGGTTTTTTCCCTGTGGGGCTTGTGCTGCCACCGTGTCTGGTTATTCCTTTAAGGAGACACCGGATTTTCTATAGGAATATCCAGATCACGTGAGCAATAGGCAAATTAGCGATCGAGGCAGGGAACGGCATTGTGTGGATAGCACATCTCCCCTGGAAAACACGCGCACCCCCAAACACTCCCTGGTTATTCTTAGAAATCTCCCTCTTCTCCCCGCGAGACAGGGTTCAACAGCCACACAGACAGGACAGAACGCATAGGAGGTTGTTAGAATAACATGGATGAGGCTAAAAATACCCCTCAGAAACACACATAAAAAAGCCAAATCCAACAACAGAACGAGCTAAAAATATTTCAAGCTTTGGCAAAGAGCACAGAGTTAAATAAATTATACAAGAGCCATTCATGGGAGCAAGTTGACTTTCTCTCTTACGGGAACTTGGTTCAAGCTAATAAAAATAATAATTTACTGGCCACTGAGCTTTGCATGAGTTTAAATTTAATTGGTGGGGCTTCTGGCGTTTGTCACTTCTTGGCGATTAGTGGGCTTGCCCTGGCCTGGGGAGGCTTGGGGAGGAGTGCGGGGGGCCAGGGTCCTCAAGAGGCAGGGCCCAGCACTAGGCCCAGGTACCCAGGAGGCCAGGGGAGCAGGAGCAAGGCTGCCTGGGGTCCAGGAAGACAGAGAAGGAACAACCAAGGCACGACTATTTTAATTTGATAAATGATCGTACACCTTTAAGAGTGTGTTTTAACAATCAAGATACACTCCAGCAAGTTGATAGGATGTTCGCTGTCAACTTACATATGTCATCAGAGCGGGCTGTGAGCATAAATAATGTGCACTCGAGCACTCGGTGTGCCTGCAGCCTCTCCTGGAGGCCGAGGCCAGCAGGTAGCACCTGGTCCCCTCTTTCGTTGTCTGAAGACTGTAGCCAGAAGAGGACAGGAGTGAGGGGCACTGAATGCTTTTCTCAACTCTGGAGATTTTTGGTCTGGGTCGCTCATTCTGGGGAGTTCCTAGGTCTCCCCACCAAAATATGAGCACCAGGACTCCTTGCCCAGAGAAAAACACTTGTGGATATAATCTGAGGCTGGAGGCAGGCAGCAGATGTTGAAATAAAACTATTTCCCAGGAACCCTAAACCTCCACTCTGAGACTGAGGTCAGGATAGGCCCCTTTGCTCTCTGTTCTTCCTTGGCTGTTCCCTAACTAAACACTCATCCCAAACCTTCCCCCTGCTGGCCCTAACTCCCCAAGGACTACGTTTCCCAGAATGCCTTGGTCTAGCTCCAGGGTCCAGCCAGGGACCTTGCCTGTCCCAGCTCTGGGAATTCCCAGGCACAAATAGAGTAAAGCCAGTGCCACTGGGAATCGGTGCTTTCTGGCCAGCGGAAGGAGCTGTGGTCCTCACCCCATGTCCCGTTGCCCTTTCTCCTCAGAGGCCTCTGGCTGCCTGGCTTCCTTCCTACCATAAATATCTGAGTACAGACCCCTGGAAAAGTGCAGCTGCCCCTCAGCACTGTCCCCTCCACCCTGTGTCATGGCCAGAGCCCCCAAGCCCAGCCTGTGGCACATGCCTTCTTTGGAAAAGCCTTGAAGGGGCGTGAAGGAGATGAAGAGGCCCAGTCTGCCTAGGGAGTCCCACTTTGGGGTGGCGACCCCCCACCTTGTCCTCCACATCCTCAGCTCACAGCAACACCCAGATTTAGAGACTTCCAGAGGGGAACCATCTCTGGGACAGAGCTGCCGCAGGCCCCTTTGGAAGAAGGCTGGCTGTCCTCACCTGCTGAGGAGGCGCTGAAGCTCCTGGAGGGGAGCTGGCCTGGCCTAAGCACTCCTTGGAAAGGCTCCAGGAAGTCTCCTTGGGTGTGTTGTCTCTTGTTGCTCTGCAGACACGCTGCAGGCGGCCTTCAGGATGCAAAGCACGTGCCCTGTCTGTTTGGCAAATAGGTCACTTGTTCTGCCCAGTGCCCACCCCCTCCCCGCCAGGGACCATTCCCCTGGGGTTCCCCTGGCCCCATTAACCTCTGGGACCTCATTTTTCCCCATCACAGACAGGTTGTAACAAGCAAAAAACAAAATCACAACCGGTAGGCAATATCCGAAAATTGCCCGAGGCGGCGGGTGCTGAGGAGCAGGGGCCCTCGAAGGCCTCCAGCTTGGGACGGAGCTGGGCTTTGGCTCCAACGCCCTGCCCGCTGACGTTTTTATGGGATAATATACCGTTTAGATCACGCAGGCCTATTTGTCAGTGGGCTGCCCCTGTTTGTCGTAATATATAATATCACTGCCTCCTGTGGCCTGGCAAGCAGCTGCCCCCGTAGATTCTGGGGACTGGTGGGTGCTGGGCAGGGGGCGCTCAGACCCTGCTTACAGGGTCCATGCTGGGTTTGCAGCCTCAGGCCTGGCAGGCCACACACTGCCCGAAGCTGGGAGGCAGCGGCTGGCATCCGTGGTTGCCGCTACAGCTGTCCTGCGATTAGGTTCCAGATTGGTCCGGCCAGGAAGCGTTTCCTTCATGCTGACTGGGGGGAGGAACAGGTGGGTTTGGCTTTTGCCTCCTCTTCCTTCCCCCTCCTCCCCCTCCCTGCAACAAAGAGACCTGTGTCTTGGGACACAGAGACTTTGAGGCTGGCTGGGGTGCTCCCTTCTCCCATGTTGGTGCAGGACCCACTGTGTGCCAGGGACCGGAAACGTGAAGCAGCCTCTGCCCCCCACCTTGGTGCAGGGACTTAGTTTTCCAGGCAAAAATTCCAGAAATTTGGGAGGGCACTGAGCATGGTGTGTCTCTGTTTGGGACCTCTGAGCAGTGGCCTGGGGTCCCTGAGAGGGTGATATGGGGGAGTGCTTTTCTGGGGCACCTTGCCCTCCAAATCCTTAAGCATATTAGATAAAAAGTACACCAGCCCACTGTTGCTTTCATGGACCAATCTGGAACCTAATCACGGGACAGCTGTAGCAGCCACCAGCAGATGCCAGCCTGCTGCCTCCCACTGGCTCCCTTTCCCTCCTCTGCCTGTCCTTCCATGGTGTCTAAGGGCTTTCTTTCCCTGTCCTTCTGGGAGGTACCGTGGAGCCTCTACCCCAGAGCCAGGCTAGCAGGGCCCTCAGGGCCTGCATGCTGAGCAGAGCTGGAATGGGTGAATGGATTCAGGAGGGAGAGGCCAGCTAGGGTGAGCAGGTTGGGCACAGCTAGACAGGGAGTCTGCAGAACCCAAGCCCGGGGTGGGGACGCCGTGGTGGGCCGGGGAAGGAGCTGTACTTCTAGGCGGGTATCCCTCTGGGGCTGGCAGGGGTTTCCTGGTCCTGCAGAGAGCCCAGTTGTGTCTCCTTCCCAAGGCCTGCGCTGTAGATCCTGACAATGTCCCACTGGGCCCAACCACCACAGCTCTTGGTGGAGCCAGCAGTGGGCTAGTAGCTGACGTGTCCACTGCACACAGATGTGGCTGCTCACATCTGCCTTTCTCCAAGCTCACACTTACTAGGACTTCTGATGTTCCTCTCACAGTGGCCTTCGGGGAGCCGTATTCTAGCAGCCTGGCAGGAGCCAGCTGCCCAGTGATGGGACACGGCCTGTTCGTTCAGCATGTCCTCCTTGCCTGCTCTGTCCTTTGGCTCCTGGCAGCTGCTGGGCCACAGGTCCCCATTGACCTTCTGCTCCCCACGGGCACAGCCCCTCAATCCCTCATTATTTCCCCTCTGTATGTGCTGAGGATCCCCCCGCCGCCCCGCCCAGTCTTGAATTTTGCCTGCCTCCTTCCTGAGCTGCTTTGCGTGGAGATGTTCTCATGTTGGTTCCCCCAGAAGCTCTGAGCCAGCCTGCCCCCTGCTCCCTGCCCTGTCCCTGTGCCCACCCCAGACCCAGCCATTGGGTGTGGCTGTGCTTGTCCTGTCCCACAGGGTTCTTGACCCCTGTCCCCGGGTGAGCTCTGCTGTCGCTGCTGGCACCAGCCACCTCCTCACATCTCCTGCCCTTTTTAGCTTGCTGACCTGAGGGTGGTCTACTTTCAGTCGCCACGCACCCTGCCACCTGGGGCTGCCCCCTGCTGGCGCTTCACCTGGGCCCTACCCAGAGGTTCTGACCTGCAGGGGACCAGGGTTCTGATAGCCCTGATCATCCTTTCAGGGCCCAGGGGAGATTCTGATGCGTGTCCAGGCCTCCTGAGTCCAGACACGCCCGCAGCTGTCCACAGGGCCACCTCCCTCAGCCCCCGAGGCTCATATCCAGCCAGAGCTTTCCTGGGCAGTGGGACCTTCTGGGCCAGCCCCGTGTGCCTGCCCTGTGACCCTGAGGAGCATCTTCACTTGTCTGCGGAGGTTCTGAGGCTGCGTGCTCGGCACTTTCAAAGGTGTCAGCCGAGCAGGTTGGCACACTGACCTGTTGCCTCCTTACTAGAGCCTCTTGTTGAAGCTGAGATACGGGGTGTCCCCTCTGGGGAAGTTATCTCACCCTGCTGCTGTGAAGGAAGGACCTGGGGCACCAGGGCTGGTGGGGAAGTCAGTTCCTGTCTTGTGCTGGGACTCCCTAACCACCCCTGAGGGGTCTGCATGGTGGGGAACACGCCTGCGTCTGGAAGCAAAAGCCATTGACTTTGTTTTTTGGTTTTTTTGGTACCGGGGATCGAACTCGGGTCCTTGCGCTTGCACAGCAGGCGGCAAAACCACTGAGCTAAATCCCCAGCCCAAAAGCCATTGACATTGTTGGGGTCACAGGCCAGGGTACAAGGAGCAGGTGAGGAGGCCATGTGTGTGGCTACATACGGCAGGGGTGGGCACACGCGTGTCAGGAAGGAAGGGGAACCCTGTGTACATCTGTGGCCATCGCCCTGCAGGGGGACCGTCGGACCTGGGAGAGGAGGGATGCTGGACAGGGGCTGTGATCCTTCCCTGCCCCCATGTCTCCAGGCGCTGGGCCAGTGAAGGCGAATACCCGTGGCACACCAGGTCACAGTGCCACCACCTTGAGCCCCAAGAGCTCTC